GTATAAATGTAGAATAATAAATATTGTTGCTATGCCCATGTTTAGTTGACCTGATACAAATGTTTATCATCCAAAAATAGTTATGGGCACAGGTCTCTGCTACTGTTGTTTTGTGGGTCAAAAGCCGAAAGGTTTGTGAACCACTGCACTTCAGAAATCAATTTAAAGGGTAATAAAATAATTGGTGATGTAATATTTCCCCTATAATTATTACAAAACACAAAATAAGCATAAATAAGTATGTATATATTTGTGTAGCTTTTGTTTTTAGGGTTATTAACAAAGTTTATGTACTCGGACTAGTAATATTTGGGGTCACAAGTTTTTGCAATAGATATTTTGTGGGTCAGAAGATAAAAAGTTTGGGAACCACTGCTTTAGAGGAATGTATATCTTTCACCGTATAAGAGTTTTTAAATAAACTATATTTGTTTTTAAGTTTMCTCATTTCTTTAAATAAAAAAAAAACAATTTACAAAAAAAAAAGAATACTAAATGAAATGAAAGGTAGCAGAAGAAGAATAGATGAAGTTATAGCTGTTTTGGTCAAATATCTTGTAAGTGTGWGAAGTCTGAGATGTGTTGGAGCTTTAAAAAACAGTTTTATTAGAAGTTATGTAGGCTACCTGTATTGCGGATGGACATTGGACCATTTAGCCTTCTTGCCTTGTTTTATTATAACCAAACAAAACACAAATGGTAGAGAAGTTTCTTTATTTAAGTTCAAAATAGAAAATAAAAAACAATTAACAACTTTCCCATCTTGATTTATTTTACAACTACTGATAAATGTGATGCAACCCAAGGGTATCAATGTCTGTAAAGCAAATTGGACTTGAAGGTGCATACATTCATTACACATGCATCAATTAAAAGTTTAAAGTAACTATTTAAATGGTGGAATTTAGTGATGTTAATAATTCTGTAGTTAATTTAATATTTAGTTTAATATTTATTTATATTTTAGGCATTACAGCTGCATTTTGTCTCCTTCAGAAATAGTAGGATGTTTTAGTCTAATTTGTCACTGTATTATAAAAAGGGTCATTTGTTTATTTATTTTTGTTTGTTTGTTTGTTTGTTTGTTTGTTTGTTTGTTTGTTTGTTTGTTTGTTTGTTTGTTTGTTTATATTGAAAGCGGTCAAGGCAAGGTGAAGCATGGAGCTCTCCGGAGAGCAGCAGGGGCGTCTCAGCGCTCCTTCTCGGTCCAACTTCGGCTCACTTCCTGTCTGTGTCACCGAGGCTCCGGGGCCGCTCAGCGACATGGCTGCGTTCCTCCGAGCTCGTAAATATGTCCGCTGTGTGGTCCGTTTCTCCGACCGTGAACTGTAAGCGGCACCGTTGACAACCTACGAAGACAACGAGGAAAACTACCGGCCTAAGTGTCATGGTGGGTCACCGTGTTTTACCTGTTTTTGAACAGGTAAACAAGTTAACCGCTAGGCTAGGCTAGGCTAGCTGGTGAAGCTAACACGCCACCTGGCTCCCGTAAGGTAACTCGTAGTTTACGGGTCTGTCTGTTAGTTATTATCAAACTGTTTTAACTCAGAGTTATTTGTAAAATGTAAAATTTTGTTATAGGAGACCGTGAAAAGTGTTTTTAGTTAATGCTAGAACATGGTAAGATTAGCATCACGTGGTAGCAGGCGACAAAAATAGTTAGATTTGCAAGCGTCTTCCACCAATGTCTGTTTATTTTAGCAAGTTTTTTTTTTCCAAGATATGCATAATTTTCTGTTCAGAGCGATATGCGTTTGCTTGGGTTATCTAGCTGTTTGTCCGCTGGAATAAGGAAGTTGCATATTATTTGCATTTACCACACTTATTGAGCTCTGCAAGAAAAGGAACAAAACTGTCCAAAAAGATAAACAAAGACACCAGCAGTCATGAAAACAGCACAAATAAGGCTGGGAAGAAAGTTGGACTGAGCTGTAATGATCCTAAAAGTCAGGAAAGAAATTAAAAATATTTACTCTTGAAATTATAAGTAACTATCASTAATTGTGTATAATAGTAAAAGGTTTGATTTTTAGGCTCATTCTAGTTTTTAGCTTCTTTTTTTCTGTGTATTTGCACTCTGTAGCTCCACTTCTGCTCCTTATTGGTTCAGCATGTTAAGTAAACAATATTATCCTCAGTTTAAAAAAAAGCCTTCTAGATCTGCTGGAGAATTTTAAGTCAAATCAACTTGTGTGCTATTTGAATGTAAGTAACCCCTTACTGCCTTGTTATTACAGTGCAGTGAAGGGTACACGTGTTAAAGTCTGAAGTGCAAAGCAGGTTAAAAACAGGCCTTTGCTTTTATATGTGATCCGTGCTTGCATACTGACACCGAATAAGTGCAAAAAACGTGAAAATATCGATTTGTCGTGATTTAGATTTGTGTGAAGAAACAAGCTGATAAAGACACCATCTGACAATCTCAATCTTTCTAATCTACCTTTTTAAATACAAGTTTTGTAACAGGCATGTCTTCAGAAATATTACTTTTTATTCTAATCTTTTTAAGTTCTTTTGGGATTCCCTTTTAAAATACATAGCTGGCATTWTTAATGACATCCATCAAGACCAATAACATTCAAGTTTTCAAACTGGCACTGTCGTAAACAAAACCACCTTGTTGCCAGGCCGTGTGATAAAWTGTCAAATGTCAACACACTACATATCATTGTGAAGATGCTAAATTTGAAAATAATAACAACTCGGTGTTAAAATTTTTCCTTATTTTGATTTATTGTGACTGGTCAGCTCATAAACACTACCAGTAACCATTTAATGTTGCCATGTTTCCACCTTCATAAACCAGACTACAACATGCAGAGTCCTGTTCTGTTTGCAGGCTGAAGAAAATGCAAATATTGATGGTACGTTAGAGGAGGATGAAGATGAGAGTTCAGATGAACCAGATATTCAGGTAAAAAAAAAAACACTTGTGTACTGACATTTGATTTCTGCATCMATAAAGTAATGTTTTGTGTTTTGATAGTTTTTTTGTTTATGTTGTTTATGTTTGTTGAATTGCGGTTTCGGCTTATTGGCTTAAAACATTATATTGTGTGATATTTCTCGGGTATTATTAAATGGTATGTTTTATGTATGACTATCACATGAACTAAATTAGTGAAATGTCCCTTAAAAATCACTAAATGTTTTTGTTATGATAACTGAAACTAGATGTAATTGTAAAACCTTGCTGGTATGAATTAACTAACTGATCTTGTGTTTCTGTGTGGTGCTTTGATGGGATGTTTTTGCAGCTGGAGCTCACTGCGTTCAGAGCTCGGTGGATGTCGGAACTCAAACCGAGCTCTGGGGCGAGTGGAGCAGGTGACCGGCTGGCTCGAGCTAAAGGCGTGAGGAGGACTCAGGAAATTGCTCGAGAAGAAAAGGCAAGTCGTCAAAACGTTATTTTTATTTATTTATTTTTTGTTAGTCTGTACGAGCTGTGTTTTAGATTGACGGCTTTTTCTCCATCCCTCAGGCCACAGAGTTGTTTCTGCGAGCTGTGCAGGAGGAGCAGAATGGAGCCGTCTATGAAGGTATGTGAGCAGGATTTATGAATGTGGATGTTCCTTCAGTAGATACTTTATCTTAGAGAGAGACAGGACAACAGAATCATCAGCCAACTTCAAAACGTGGCGCTTTGGATACTGGCTGCGATGATCATTTGCAAATAAAAATAATAAAAGAGGTGAAAGAACGCAGCCCTGAGTGGAGCCTGCAGAGGACAGAAGGACTTTAGAGAGACCCTCACCCACAAGCCAACATAAGAGCAGAATCCAGACCATGAAAACATTGATTTCTCTGCTGAAATCTGGGATTGAAAACAGTTAAAAACAGATAAGTCAATAAAAAGCAATCTTGCAAAGTGCTTTCTAAGTGTCTGAAATCCTTTTTAAAAGAGCTACTGTTGCGTCCTCCATCCCTCTACATGTCTGCAAACTGAAGTGGGTCCGAATGTTTTCTAACTTCAGATAAAAGAACTTCTCTAACAAGCTTTTCAAATGACTTCATCACTAATGAAGGACAACAACAGCCGTGTTTCCATCCAATTTTAATTCGAATTTTGAGCAATTTTTTA